AATTAGTGAATGATTACTTCCATTACCTGCAAAAGTCAAATAAAAGGTCAATCTATTGAATCAATTTTAAAGAAAAAAGACAAGAAAAAGAGGAACAAAATACCGTCCGGCCTTTCAAAAGGATGCATTCTGAAATGCAATTCTCAAATCATAGTAGTAGTATTACTGCAACTAAAAATATTCTTCACTGTAATGGCAAAGATGCAGTCACGAAGGTAGGAGTGAACTTTTCAAATTTGTATTTAATAAATTATGTTCTGTATTATATGCTTTTATGATTAAATACATGTGACACCCATGACAAATTAAAGTCATGTGACACACATGACAAAACAAGCAAATTAGGATATATTTTGAAGGATCAATGGAGAAGAAAATGAGTAGCAAACAGGGGACAAAATATGCCTGAGAATAAGAGCACCGAAGATAAAAAGCATTTCAAACAAATCTTGGAAGATCAAGCTGTAAAGAAGTGAATACATAGATATGGGACTTGAAGGAACCAGTAAATACTAGAACTCTAGTGCCAGAAGCTTATGCCAAGTTTCAATTCACCTTATCAAGGTTTTGATTTTTTGCCTTAAAGTAGTGTGATATATTATAGGAGTAGAACTTCAAATGGAAATGCAAAAATATCCATGAAAGAAAAGAATAAAGAGAATTAGAATCAAACAGTTCAGGGAAAGAATGTGGCTGCACTAGAAATTAAGCTCATGGAGAGGGAATGGTAAGCTAATGAAATGTTCTTGATTACCTTCAATGGGTGTGGAAAGGGAATGATAGGTTAGAAAGCAAGCGTCCAAATCCTTTAATGTTTGACCGGTTGGGATCCGGTAAATAGGATACGTACAAGATACGAAAACAACAATACAAGCAAATGAATAATCATATAATACAAGAGTCAATAATTGTAAAAACGTATCAACATTACCATGCAATAGATATCCAACTAATAGGCAATAAGTCACAACTTCTTGATGTCTTCAGCCTGGGATAGCAGCATGCAAGATCTGAAATCTGCAATGCAGTTATGACAGATAAAAATTAGAAGTTAATTCTAAGACAGAAAACTTTGAGTAAATGGGTTAAGAAAACAACTAGCCTTGTCTGCCAAGGGTACGTGGCAGTAAGGACTATCCGGGTCAAGAAATTCAAACACCAGGTAATGCCAAGAACTCCCAGCTTAGCTATCATCACTAGAAAGGCACTCCTGCGTTGCATTGCTTTCATCACTAATAAACAAACCATTCATTCTAAAAGGGATCTAAATTTCCAAATGGTAATAATGACGTTTCTCTCTAGGAAATTTAATGCCTTCTTCAATTTCATAAACACTACTTCCATCGCCACTTGAGTCTTTGTAGTAATTACCACTGCTTTCTTCTTTGGACCAAACAATACAAGAGATGATTTTATTACAAGTTAATACACCATATGATACTCTATACTAAAACTCATGACAATCCATGAAGCCAAACTCTAACACAGCAGAAAAAATGAAAGAACAATGAAATGATAGCAACAAAAATCATGTGACCCAGAACGGCTAATATATGCCAATCTAATAGCTTAGAGCAAAAGGGAAATTATTTTTTAAATGAATTCCACTTTAGTCATCACACTTAGAGATACCGTACCAAACAGTGAGCAAAACAAAAAACGAGTTTTTGGTTTTTAATCCAATAGAGAAATGCAATTTGAGCATATTCTTACTAGCAGCTTTTGATTGAAAAAGGAAAAAGAGATTGAATTATTCTTGTAGATGCAGAAGCAATGCAATCAGAGAGCAGATGGATACACTACAGTGGTTTAGACAACAATAAATACTTTCTTGTAATCACCAGAATTCAGAAAAGAGTTGAAACCTGAGTCCCAAGAATGGGAGTCAAACAAACAATACTGAAATCAGTAACCTTTTCCCTAAGGGAGCTTAGGAATTACGATATTGTAAATCACTAAATCTTTTGCTCACAATTACAAACAAATGGCACAAATTTTCACATGGAACGCTTACCAAATGCTCAAAATTTTGCAAGTGAACAACTAACGGAGGAAAAAGAAAAAGGTGCAAGATTAAAGACCATCTAATCACTTGAAAAGGACAGGGATGGGAAAGTAACAAATTATAAAAATTAAGAAATGCACAAATCAGTGACAAAGAAGGTGATTAAGTTCAGCATAACAAAAGAACAGAAAAATGAAACAGCACCACATGTAAGATATCCAAAAGTGTACTCATTGAACGTAACAAACATTATGAAGAGAAATCAACAAGCATACACATTATATAATAAAAATTTTAAAATTTAAACTGAATCCAACAGAAAAGAAGGAAGTAACAAAAGTAGACTTGAAAGATTACAAGTTACAACTACAATAAGTAACACATTTTTTAGAACACCTACAACTGAAGGTGGAATTTTTCTACCTGGACTTATCATCTGATTGCAGAGATTTAACATAAAACTGGATCCCCAACAAGTATGGAACATAGTATTGGACAAACAGTCTCTCCCGTCAAGCACCAAAGGCACCCCTGCTCCATATGCACTCCATTCCTCGAAAGATGACCATAGATTACCTAATGTAAAGTATGGCTGAAACTCTACACCACAAGTCCTCCAGCCCCTCACTGTCATCTGCAGCCACGCAATCACAACTTATATAAATATTCAAGTTACATAGAGAGCCACATATAGAAATCAAAATTATAAGTCTCTTTCTATATATTATATGCAGTTAAAGAAGGAACAAAAAATATCTAACAGCAGAAAATTGTGTTTCAATTTACCCTACACTTAGCTGATACAAGTGCTTCCTTATCTTCATTGTCAAACCAAAAAGTAAAAAAAATAAAACAAAATTCCGACATTCTAACTCCTATGCTTTCTTTTACTTGTATACTTTCTAATAATTAGAAACACAGTTCAACTAAGCTTACCTAGTCTTACCAACCCATGCATTGTTCACTAATCACTACACCCAAATTTCTTTGCTATTTCCTACACTTTTCGGGAACCAAACACAAACTTCAAGATGGAAAATAATAATAATAATAAACCTCAGAGAAATACTGAGCCAGGGCCAATGACGTGGTTGATTCCAGAAATCTCTGAAGAGTACTCTAAGAAACATTAGACTCCTCAGAGTCTGAAACGAAACTTAAAGGAGAACGTTCCTTGAAGATCTTCCTATTTTCAAGAACTATATAAAATCTGTGAGGGTTTCAAGTTCAAGATTTTCTATTCTGGTTGAAGAAAGCTGAAGAAAGGAGTAGGATTTCAAGAATACTGAATTGTATTCCACTATGTTGTTTCTGTACGAGGCATCTGTATATATATCTACACAGGTGTAAATTCAGAACCTAATAAATGCCTAAACTTATGTACAGGAGCGTTGCTTTTAAATGTTGCTAAATCTTTGTGCTTTATGATCAATAGTTTCCGTGTTCTGATATTCTTGACAGTTGCTCAATCTCTCTATTCTGTGATCAGTTGTTTCCTTCTTCTGATATCTTGTTTCCTTAGTTTCCGGCTTGGTTCGTGGATTGACTTTGTTTGCTCTGATGGATCCTTCATACTGGTAAATGTTATATATCAGCAATGGTCAGCACCCAGCACCCAGTACCAGCAATCTTTGACATTCAAATTTCAAACCAGAATTTCTACATCACGATTGAAGTCAACCATTATCTCTATCTTTCACAGATGAAAATTCTAATAATTTGTAAGTGCCTTTCTTTTTCAAAACAAGTAGCCTGTTATATCAAGCAAGAATATATAAAACCACATCATTGCTTCAATTTCTTTGACAATCTAATAACAATCGCCCTCCTTATGTGAGAAAACAACTCTTATATAAAATATGTTTA